CCCTTTCCTGCCTCCATTCCTGCTGTGCCTGCCCTCATCAGCAAGCCCATGTCTTGCTGTGTCTACCACACGTGCAAGTAGATAATGAAGTTGAGAGAAACAAAATGAAAATATGAAAAGACACAGAACTAGTAAGAAAGAGGAACATTTAAAAAAAAAATAAAAGACACCCAAAAAAATGTGGGAACAGTATCAGAGTAGATTATTTCGTTTACATCTTTCATACAAGCTAATCTTGAAAGGAACTGGAACAAAAGTGAATGTGCCGTCTTAAAAGTGCACTCCAAGTTAATGAGATCCTTGACAAACTGTCTCCTTCAAGGTGGTATTACTTGTACACCCATACATTTGAGGCCATGTTAGCAGATGCAAAGGCAGGGCCTTCTCTTCCCCTCCATTACTGCAGAGCGTATTTTCTGCTCCTCAGTTTCTGATGGATAATACCCCCAGTAATAACACCCGCAGCAGCATGATGAAAATTGAAAGAACCCTTCTTTTCATCATTTGTGTGCAGCACGCTGGCATTACACTTAGACCACCACTACTGGACTTCCTCTTCTTTGAGGAGAGGTTGAAGGTGAAAGTGTTTGAAGTTTCACCTTTGTCATAAATCCTCGATCTTGAAGGCACATCCAACCTTCCTGCCTAAAGGTGGGAACTAACTTTCTAGAAAGCACTTGAAAACGAGGGGAAAGGATCTCTGTGATTCCAGGTAGCTCCACAGAGGAACACTGAGCAGCTGAAGTACATGGTTATTTATGGCACGGCAAGATATTACGGCATGCTGTCTCCTACTATATTTATGGTGGCTTGTTCTTCCCTCAACCCTGCTCTCAAGTCCCAACGAGTACACATGGTACGTGAGAGATTAAGTGGGAGGAAAGATGGCTGAGGTCCAGTTAGTGGAAGTCACAGACAGAGCTGTGAAAGTCTAAAATTGTATGCAGCACACAGTGGGAAGTAAAAAAGAAAGCTTCTCCTTCCACCTTTCCATTTCTGAATGCCCGTCCACCTCCAGGATAAATCTTAGTGATCTTGGCTCTGAAACATTTCTCACTGTGGAAGACATTGTCAGGGAACAATACTGACAGGGTTGAGGTCTCTGAGTCTCCTTTGAAGATAGAGCAGTTCAGAGGTGGACACAGAGGAGGTAACACTGAGGTGTCTCTTCTGCATGTGATTCAGTCAGACTTGCTCTGCAGATACTCTTAGGGAGCTGCAGCTTGGCAGGAGCCCAGCAGAAACTCAGTCCTTTGGAATGACTCAAGCCCAAGCTCCATCCTTCTCTTGCACACAGCACTGAAAAAAGCACTAAGGGACTGCCAATGCGCACCACGGGTACTGAGCCTTGCAAAAGAATCCAGTATGATAAATTCCTTTCATGCCATCTGTGCAACCATGGGCTCTTCAGCCAGCAGCAAGGGGGGAAACTGCCCAAACTACACCACAGTCGTAATACAGCAGGTACCCCTCTGTGTAGAGGTTGAATATGGCCACAAACAGGCAGCCGATGACTTTGGGTAGCTACAGCCAGAGTCCCTACTGAAATCCTGATATCCCAGGACATACACGCCATAGCCATGATGACGACTGCTGCCATTGGAGTAATACTGACACAGGGTTCTGTGTTTTGCTTGGAGATGCCATCAGGAAAGAAGGGATCTACCCAGTGTGACTGCAGTGCGTTCTACAGAGTGCCGTACACTACTCTCAGGCCACAGAAATTCAGTACCAGTTGTTCAAATAGGACAGAGACATGACTTTTTAAGGCTTTTGGTTTCAGCAGTTAATTCTTAAAACACTGCAGGTCTTTCAAGTATACTTTCAAGATCCTAAGCACATTTTCATGGGTTCATTCAGCCTCCTGTAGGGATCATGGCTGAGCTGCACATCTGATGCCACAGGAGTTTGCAAAAGAGACTGAATGAGATATCACTAGTGTAGAGGCTAAAAAGCATCAATGTACACAAAGAACCGTGTCAGATCTCTCCCTAAAGGGCTGATTTCGATATAGACTGACACACAGATCTCTCTGGCTGAGCACTCCCTTGGTGTGTCAGTGTGTCATCACACAATGATTTTGCAGCAATTTGTGACACTTGTTTGCTCGAACAACAGGCCTTCCCATCACACAGCATCCTATGCAAAAACCTATTAAACAGCACCCTATGCAGCTGCTGCTTCTTGGTAGTCACCTGGGACAGAGGCAGCCAATACAGAATGTGCACACAACAGCTGCAACTACACAGAAACTCTTCTTTCTTTCCTGGCAAAACTTGCTCCAAAACTAGCTTGACTTGCTCTAAAAAGACACCCTGAGAACTTGCAACAGCTTCTAAGGAAGGATACTGGCTACTCAGATTGGTTGCTTTCCTCACACGCTTCCAGACTGACTACAAGGTTTCCAGCTTTCCACTCCAAAGGCAAACACATATGCTAAAAAGCCCCTCAAGCTGAATCCCTCTTTGGGTTTAGGATACCTTCATGATTTCTGAAAAACACTGTTAATCAATCAGCCTTTTGGAGTTTAATGTCAGGAAGCCCTCTGCTCCCTGCACAAACCAAACTGCTGAAAATACGCTGGCATTTGGCAATTTAACGTGGTTTGATTACTTTTTTCTTTTCTTTTTTATAAGCTCTGCTACAGTAGGATTCATTTTACAAGCACCTTCGGATTTCTGACACTGTGTCACATCTGGATTTACTTATGATGGATCACAGATCTGGTTTACAACATTTAACGCACGCAGGAGCTTCCAAACTTTGCTCCGTGACTTTGCGCAGCGTTGCTGCAAATCCAGCCAGGACGATGCCAGGTTCCACCAGCTCTGGGGACCATCACTGCCTCCCACCGATGTGGCAGGTTAGTGCAGGTGAAGAAGCTAGCGTTAAGATGCTCTGAAGAAACAACGCTATTATCTGACATCCAAATTTCATACTTAGATTTCTTCTTCTCCCTAACCACAATACAAAAAAAGAGAAATCTAGGAGGCTGGGATTCAGTCCCAGATCAGACTGTTTTTGTAGCACATGGAAAAGGCTTTTTTTTGATGATTACCTTTTACTGGGGATGACCACATTTAAAGTGTCTAATTCTTTTAGGTCTACCTTTGATAACAATGATCACTTTGTGTTGTTGACACAGCTGTGGTTTCTGGCAGGGACAGAGGCAATTGCTTGAGTTGGTCAGATCCACAACAGGCTTTTGAGGAGATGTGGAAAACGAGGGCCTTGATTTTAAGCCCGTATAAAGTTTTCCTGATCTAAAAAGCCCTCTGAATCTAAAACATCTACACCTCAGGCCAGTAAAAACTGCCTAGCAATAGGTACCTTGTGAAATCAGGCCACTTTTATGTGAAAGATGCCTTATAAAATGTTGGTCTTCAGTGACTTGAACTGCGTGCCAGGCAGCATCACTTGGAAACAAAAGCAGCTCTCGTGTTGCAGTGTCTAACCCATGCCACGGCCTCCACCACCCCAGGACTAAAGTTTACAGTGCAGGAGCAAACAAAAGCTAGAGAAGACTACACAGACCAACATAGCTTTAACAAAGTCATTTTCCTGGGTTGCAAGGCAATGTATACATCAGTTTCCATAGCAACAGAGGGAAAAAAAGAACCACCCAAAACCTAATAAACCAAACTCTTTCCTTTTCCATTGCCAAGCTTTGGATTGACATGTCTTTAAAAAACACTCAATGTTCATTCTAAAGATGGAAAAGATAATGTATTTCACTTGCTGTACACTTGTTAGATGCATTTTTTGGCTCAGCTTGAAAACATTTCACAGTTCACACGGTATTTGGCAAGAGACCTTTCAGCTTTCTTTTCCCACAGACTGATTTTATAGCAATTAAAAGATGTAAATAAATTGCATACACCATTTCCTCTGTCACTCACACCCAGACTCACACTTAAACACATGTACAGATAGTTATTGATAGTGCCCACATGAAGAACGGCAGAGATGAATGATAAACGTAATTTATTATGCATCTTTCACCATGTCACCCGCGCTCTTCCCGTATATCCATCTCAGCTGGATTATTTCTAGCATTCCTAACCTCTGAGCAGTTTCCAACAGCTGCTTTTATAATTTTTTTTTTTCTTATCTTAAGCTATTGCCAAAAAGTGTTTCTTTTCTTTCCTCTGAAATTGGTATTTGCATCCCTGAAGTAAATGCTACTTAATATTGAGTTCAATGTGTTCCTGTCCCAGGAAAAGTATCATTTAGACAGAAGATCCTGCATCTACAATACCATCAGCTTTCAAAACATGGAATTTCCACCCACAAGTAGAAGACACTGTTTACCTTATGAAAGGCTCACAAATCCAGTGCACTTAAGTCACTGGACTGGATTAAAATACAATAGTTTACTTAATTTGGAGGGTTGTTTTCTTTATTTTCTGTTTTTCAAGCCTTTACAGTCCTTTGGGGTAGTTTTCAAGTTTTTTGTCCACAAAAATGAAAGCCAGAGAAACTTCATAGTTTGTTACAGGGAAAGAAAAAGACTCCTGAAATTGCTCAGAGCAAGGTCTTCACAGAAACATAAAATATTAAGTCTTGTAGAGAGCTGGCAAATCTACGGTAAATATTTGAATCTGAGCCCTGTGGCCTAACAGACCCTGGATCTTTAAAACATGACAATTTTTTTTTTTTAACAGAAGAAAGCTGTTTATGTTATATTTAGAAATTCTAGAAACTATGATTCTGTAGCACTCTCCCATTCTCTTTTACAAGCCTGGGCAGCTGGACTCATTCCTAAGGAGCCTGGATATACTGACAAAAGATACGGGGGAAAAAAAAGCCCACCAAAATCCATGGAAGTGCTTTGAATTAGAGATATTCTGTAACACACACCATGCTCAGAAAACATGGCAGTGTGCTGTCGTATAAAGCCACGACAGGAAAAGATTGATAAATAAAGGTTCATTCTGAAGTGATGCCTTAAAAAAAGTTCCCTACCATTTACTTTTACCAGCCAGCCCTCATGTAGAGATTACAATGTCATCTGTCCCCTCAACAGATTTTTTCAGAATGTAAAATTTGTCCTACAGAGGAGAAAAACCTTTGAAAACAAAGCCTGTCATCATAAATTATCACATAAATCATATAAGCTATGTAGAAATATAGCGTTTGGATGAATTCTCTCATTTTCAATGCAAGTCAATGTTCTGCATGAACTGTGTCGCTTAAGTATCCAGAATACTAAATATCTGCACATATAATTTATCAGCGATTATAAAGAGGCAAATCTTCCCCTCTCTGACCCAAGGTAGCTGCCAAAAACTGCAAGTAGCCAGTGCTGCCTGGATGCTACAGCTTCCCTCCCTCCAGCCTTCCTATTCCTGTGATGAGACTGCCTGAGCTCTGCCCACAAAGAGCCCTAGATCCCTGCAGGATGAATTTTTCCCTTAGCTTTCCTGTAGAAGGGGCCTCCCCATCCTTTGCCCCAGCGCGCAGTCCCAGAGCTGCAGCCTGCTGGCTGGAAGTTGTGAAAACAGACAGCTTAGGGGCATTGCACGCTCCTGAAACCTGATCGTGCTCCTAAGTGTCATTACTC